TGGCATCAGAGAAATAGAAAGCTATAACAGAAATAGTTTTCTTGTGAAAAACTCCATAGATTAGCAGAAAAAGACTTCTGTTTTCTACAAAGACTGATGAGAAGACTCTAGCAAGAATTGGAACTGTTGTAAACACCAAAGTTCCAAAGTTTTTTGTCTCTATGTTATCATGTGAACAAGGAAGTGATTGGGTAGTGGGGTATAAAGGAGTTTTCTGGAAGTTTATTCTGGTGTTCTTATTCTTGTAGTTTTGTTAATAAACTTTCTTTATTCCTTTTAAGTTTTAAGCCTGTTTTGCTCTTGTTCTAATCCATATCTCACAGCAAGAAATAAGTAAGTTTTCTAATAATTTTTTTAGTTACTGCTTTAAAACCATGACATTTATTTGGTGCATTAGCCAGGAAATGAAATTAGCAAATCTAAACCACTACAACCCTTCAGAGAAACAGCAGTCTAAAATATCATAATGCAATAAATGAGCTCATTCTTAAAATCATGAGACCTTCTTCTAAAGCCATCTGCCTGCTTTTCCTTGCAACCTATTTTTATAGCTTTTTCTTTGCAATATCTATATGCCTGTCTTGTGCTAGGCTAAACCTGAAAAGAAGAAAAAAAAAAAGAAAGTTAGTAGAGATGAAAGAAGAATATTTAGGAGCAGCTTACTATGGAATATTGTCAGAAATGAAGAAAAGGAACTGGAGTTCTGGCACATTAGACAGGTTAGTTACATTCTTTAAGCACAAAAGTGTTAAAAATGACAAAAGGATCAATAAAGTTGAGATACAAGATGGTACTTTGTGAAAGACTCATCTCATTCTTTTTTTTCCAACCCCAAAGACTTGGGTCAGTTTTACACCAGAAGAAAAACAGTTGAATCACCAGCCCTGTTATATAGAGGCTTTCCAGAGCTATAAAAATACCATAATGAGTACAAATTTTTGGACTATGAAGAAAAAAGCTAGTTATCATTGATTAGTTTTCCTCAAGGCAAAGTTTCTGGGGAAACTAGTTGAAATATCATCCCCCTTTTATTTTTTGCAGATTCTCTTAGAATTTCAGTAACCCCAAGTCTACATGCAAGCAACAAACTCTCATGAGTGTGAAGTTCTAAAGATAAGCAATTTCCTAGATCTGCCTGAATCTTGCATATCAGCTATACACACCAAAACATGAATCATCAGAAGCATCAGTGTATTTTCTTGGGAAACACTCGAGGAGAGATGAAAGAAATAACTGAGAGTTTTATATGTAGTTAATTCATTTTATTTTTCACTCTCTGCTACCTAGTGTGAATTTTTTTGGCAGATCCTTGCCTGATCCAAAAGCACTTCTCAGTATCTGTTCTTTTAAACAGCTTTTAACATTGTGTTTAATTAATGCCTAGGGCCCAACATATATAATTTTCTTGATTTTCTGCTAATTAAAATTCTCTGGTTCTTACTTCAAAATTCAAGCATATTCAACACACATTAGAATATTAGAAGTAAACTTTACATCATTCTAAAACAAAGAAAAGGTCTCTTTTAACACCTCTGTGACAGCTACTTCCTACTGATAGTTTTGAGATCAGCAACTCAGTATTTAATAGGGAACTGAGCTTTCCTAAGAGCCCAGAATAATTCACCTAAGTTACTGCACCACTGCTCTTTGGATAAAAACATTTAAAACCATTTAAAATTTTTACAGTTCTACTCATTATCTATGTTGTGTAATTTTATCTTTTTCTTCATATATTTTTGTTTTTCAGCTCAGTTAAATGTCCAGACACATATTAAAACAGTTTAAAAATTATGACCTTCCAGAGTTACAGAATGCAAAATTTTCCTATGGAGCTTTGAATATGCTCCCCATACCAGCATCAAAATAGAAAGGACTATAGTGGCCATAAGTGTCCCAAAAGGGATTTCCTTGAATTACTTAACTATTTCACTTGGCCTGCATTTACATTATTTCTCTTCTTTCTGTGTCATCGAACAGAGGAATCTGCAGCTAGTTTGTTGGAAATGAACAAGAGCCAGAAGAGCCACATCTTTCCCATATGGGGAGTTCTAAAGCAAACCAAGGTTGGACTGCACAGGCCCACCATCCTTGCCAAGCACACATGGCCACCAATAGTGAGGGCTGAATCTTGCTGGTAGCAATATTTATATGGCTCAAGAGCCAAAGCTTTCCTAGCATGGCTTTGGAAACAGATAGGTGAGGGTTTGCCAGACAGCAGCCCTCCTTCACTACCAAGTGATAAAATGCATTTGTCGCTGGCAGGCTGACACAGCCACAGTACAGGAGCTGCACAGCCTTCTGTCAGATCAGGGCCAGGATAGCTCCTGCTTGCAGAGACCATGCTACAGCATCAGCCAGGATCCGCTCTTACTTGGGTTTCAGTCAGGTGCATTTACTGTTAACCTGTTAGGGACCACTGAAAAACACCCCACACTTAACAGTGGGCGTACACACCAAACCACTGTGTGGGTCCACGCAAAACCATACAGCTGCCATTGCCCAGGAAATCTGACCTCTGAATATGTTCACCAAGTTGTCACACAGCACTCAACACACGGGAATACCCAGGAATGCTGTTATAGCTATGGTACTGACCATGGCAATGAATTTCAGGTGCAAGATTCCATGAGGACTGCAGTGGAGGTGGGCTTTAATGTGGTCCTTCATCTCCAGTGCTGGCTCTTAAAAATTTCTCATGTGCCTTTGTTCTGAACAGCTAGTACAGTGTCCTTCTTGGTGACCATTAATAGGTCAAAAAATCTATTTTCCTACTTCTAGCCAATTTTCATAGTACTTTGCCATCTTTACAAAGTTTTCGGGTTTTTTCCACAGAATTTTTTTCACTTGACTTGTATATTGTTCTACTGTGAGCAGCTGTAACAAAGCAAAAAAAAAAAAAGAGAGAAGGCTCCATCTCCAAATTACTAAAAACCATAAACTAAAAGAAATAGCAAAGTGGTCAATTCTTCTACAGTGAAGTCAAGGCTGTATCTTCCTGAGGACAACATCCTAGAGCACTCTGAGTGACACTCTGGAAATTGCTCTGGCTGCTTCTTTTCTGCTTCACAATTAATCATGTAATTAATTCTCACTGTAGAGAAAGGGACAAGCTGATCATCCAGTTAAAAGTCCTCACCACTCAGTGAAGTATCACAAGCTTTTCAACAGCTGTTTAAGAATTTTATACACAACAGAAAACCTTCACTTTACCTTTACCCCAAAATACACCATAGCAGAGTTTCTGGATGTCAAAAAGTATGAGTTACACCAGAACTATCTTGATAACTGTTAAGAAGAAGAAACAACAAAGAAACATACAAACAATAAAAAACTTTTCCATCTCATACCAGCTTAATTCATTTTTCATCTTTCCTGTAAAAAAAATATGAGTAAGAATCCAAAGTTGACTCAACAGCTGCAAATCTCTATTCTACTCATTAAAATATAACCTATTTCCAGGAATGTCCTGGTCAAGGAGTATAATTTTGTATGGACAAGACATCTGGTTAAAGTTTGAAAAAAATATTTTCAACCACTGATGCAACCTACAATAAAAACTGATTGGATTACAGCTAGAATTCATGAAAACATTATTTTAAAGATTTTTCTACAATCAGATTCCTCTAAATCTATGAAACAAACACAATAAAAACCTCATAACTGTGACATCAAATTAAGCATTTATTTACTGAAGGAAAAAAATAATGAAGGAAGTAGAAGTATGTTGTATATTTAGTTTTAAGGCAGAAAAATTGCCCTCATTAAACAAAAAAAATTTGCCAAACTTCAAGTACAAACCTGCACAATACTGGCAAGCTGCAACTCAGACTATGTTTAAGTCACATGGTTAATATCACAGAGAATTTCTTGTTGCTTACAGTTAAAGTTCAGAGTAAAGACCCATCTTAAGGAGGACAAACATTTGCATTGTTAGTTTCTTATTGACACTGTTCAGAACTTCATTACAAGTGCTGCAGGACAGATTATGGCTCTCATTTAGACAAAAAAACCCACCACTCTAGACTGCATAGTTACCATTGAACTTGCTCTTAGATACTCCCTAAAAAGCAATTTCTCCAAAGTCAGTACATTCCATCACACACTGGTTCTCAAACACCCTGAAGGACTTTAGAAAGCAGCAATGTATAATGGTTTTTGCATAGATGTTTCGAAAAAAATACAGCATTCAGTTTGGTGTTCTTATCCGACAGTCTTTCATGAATGCTGCTTATAAAGATCTAAGAATGAGCACTTAGAAGTGTTTAAAAACATACCACAGTAGGATCTGCACAGATGATATGACAAAATAAACTTGTCTGGCTGAAAATGAGTCTATACAACATAAACTAACTCTTTTAATCCTCTTTCATTTTGGTTCTGAAGCTTGTCACCAAGGCATAGCCTTCTGTTTTAATTGAATTTCAAAGAAATTCATTGAAAGAAACTCTAGTGAGAAAATCATTAGCACTACCTGCATTATTAGAAAATACATATTATTCCAGCCAATGTCAGTAGCACACACTAGGACACATTCTAAATAGGAAAGAACTAGTTAGAGAAATATTGTAGGGAAAAGCTCCTGCCAGACAGCTCTCTCTCACACAGACACCTCCCCTCATTTAAAATGTATGAAGATGAAGTGGTCCTTTTGTTTCCTGTCTTCAAGATGAGCCCTAATACCCTTGCCAAAAGCAAGCTAACATAGTGTAATTGTTTTACATATAAATTGCATGTCCAATCTGCTTAGTTTTCAAAGAACATTGATGAGACTACTTTGATACCTAACTGCCAAATGACAAAGTGCAGGGCACAGAGGCAGATGGGCATGATGTGAATTTTTAATCATGTTTCTCAGTCATTTTATAGAGTGTGGAATAGCAGGGGAAAGACATATCAGAGAAGAAATAATATTTTTAAGAACAAGATGGTTTTTATTTTCATTAAGAATAATTTAGAAGAACAAATAAGAAAAGAAACAATTCAGCACAAAGATCCTCTGAGGCATTTTAAATCTTTTATATTCCATATAGCTAAAAGGGTTTTTTGAAAGGTAACAAAATGGACAGAGAGAATGGACAGAAAGAACAAAGGCAACTTCCCTTTATTAACACAGACACTAGTCTTCATTCTGAGGGAAAAATAGCTTCAGAGTTTGATATTTACAGACGACATTTGTAAATTCCTGACACCATTCGCTAGCATATAAAGTTATCATCCTTTAGCTTTATCAAGTTCATAGATACACCTTTACTCTTTGCACTCATCTCCTATTTTTCCTATCCATCTTATTTCATGTCATCTGTTTTCAGAAAGTAGAATCACATGGAAATATATAAGGAAAGCCATGAACAGTCAAATTCTCAAAATATATCCTTAGTGATGGTCAGCCAGTCCAGAAAGACACACAGCTTTCACCTTTGATCCATACACTTCATTCTGTTATCTGGAGCCAGAACAAAAAACTTAATTCTGTTTATCATGCCTGTCTGGGTTAATTTAGCACCTTCCCAGGTTAAACTCTTGTTCTCTAATAAGGTTCTTGAAGCTGTATAGTGCAGGGTTCAGGGAGTGTATTGCTTTTCTTGTACATGTAAAGCAAATTTCTTCAGTAGCTGCATGAATCCTGCTGGCTTTTCTGTAATGTATCTTTATCATACCCAGCCTCTGATGCCTCAAGGAGAAGCAGGGCATCCTGTAACACCTCCTTTAGATGTGAGTGAACACGTGTGAAGAACAACACTGTATGTGGGAAAGAATGTAAAGAAAAATCTGGCTGCACAAGATCATCAAAATGTCAATCTAAACCTCACTGTGAATTAAGAAAGGAAAGCAGAGGCATGGTTCTTTTGCTAAGACTTCCTTTCCTTTTTCTGATTATTGAAGCTACTGACATTCTTCTGTTAAATGGAAGCACATATATAATAGTTTCATATTTAATACATATCCTCTTCTATTCTCAAAATTAGTCAAAGGACATTAGCTCTCATGTTTCTTTCTTTTTCACAGATACTTTCCATCCACTATGCACACATGTATATTCCTGCTTAAAAGAGGCAGACATCAAGAAAATAAGGGCACAGACATTTCATGAAAAATATTCAAAGAGAAACTGACTCAGGGCATACATGCTCAGTTCTAAACTTACCATTCATTTTGCCATCTGAATACCAGTTGTGACTTTCCACTTGTGACAGCTTTGTTCTGTCCATAGAACAGGAACAACCACACATACTTTTCTGTGCAACACCAAGGCACATTTTATTTTAAGTGTTATCTTGTCCAAGTGCTTAACATTTAACTGCCTAGATATTTTCACTCTCACTAAGGCATTGCTTTCCATGTTGCAAGTACACCAATTCTGAACCATTTAACCAAATGTTTAAACACATGCTTAACTTAGTCACATTTATCTCTTTAGATATTGGTATTTTAGCTCTGACAGCAGGATTAGCAAGGGCTATTGAGTAATGATTTGCTGTTTAAAAATTACCAAATATGTACTTTTACTTGTATAAATGGTCTTTAACAAGGGCTTGCAGAAAACCTTAGAAGAAAGTACAAAAAATGTCTAATGTCTTTATAGTTTGTTGTTTTTTATTCTTGTTAAAGGAGAAATAGTAGTACAAAAAAAACCAAATCAGTATAAGGCATGAAATATTCTGCTTCAGAGTAACTCGCGTGCACAGAATGTATCCAGCTAGAGAAGTCCCACAGCCTATTAGCAGTAACATAGATTTTGCATTTACTAAAACCTGTCTGACCCTGTGAAAAGACAGCAAGGAGAAAAGGAGAACAAACCAGCAACAGCCATAGCCTGAACTTCACGTGAGCATTATTGATCTTATTGACTGGGTCACTGAAGTGCTGCTGTACATTTAGTAGGGAGAACAACAGAAAATTACATTAATTCAAATTGTTAAATCAATATTTAACAGTATAGTTAGTGGCAGTTGACCTTCACTGCACCTTTAATAAAACAATAGTGAACTAGAACTGCAAGAGTCATAGGCAAACTAGTAATATAAATTACTGTGTGAAATATGTGTTTTAAGGGCCTGTACAAATGTAGAAATTTTCATGTGAGTGTAGATATTCCTTGTAGCTCCTTAGTTTCTTGTTGCAAGTAAAAGGCTCTTGTCACCATGTTGTGTTACACATTGTGTTAAACGGTCACTCAGATAACCACTGAGAAAAATCCTAATATTTCACTGCCACATGTCTTTTGTGATACATTTGTGGACCTTGAGAAGAAGAATAAAAACAAAGAGTAACAACATTAAGGCAGGAGTGGGCCACTGGCCAGCTTGTTTTAACATACAGGGCATTCCTCTCTTAGATAAGTGAGCTGCATCCTGATCTGAGCCTCAGGGGTTCCTTCTGTGGGATGATTCTGGTGAGAAAAAAAAAATGAAGTTGCAATAATAGTTTTTTTATCAAGCTAGCACTACAAAAACACAGAGCAGCAAAACAAACAAAAAGCAGATTTAGGTCGCTGCACTTGAATCTCTCAATAACATGTTTCCAGGACATATTTAAGCTGCTGCTGACTTGTCAAGTGAGATTTTTAAGGCATCCCCTACGTAACCAGGATACCAGATGATAGTATGTGACAGACGATTCCAAAAAACATGGTGTCATTAACAGATTAATAGCGCTGGATTAATGATTAATACATCCAATTCATTAATCCATGCCATTTAAAATCATTAATAAAGCAAATCCTTTTCCCTGCCTAGTACCTTAGGTCCCTAAGATCGCTAGAGATCTAGGTTCAAATACTTCCTTTTTCATAGGCATCTTTCACTGCTAGAAAAGCACATCAGCTGTCTTATACTCAATTCTGTCTATCTATTAGAATGCTATTAATACTAAAACAGAGATAGTGAGGTTTCTTGAGGCCAGATATTTCATAGCCATAAACACAATTTAGCCTATTCAAAGGGAAACAAAAACACTCATTAGGCTTAAAAATCTTTGTTAGTCTGTGATCTCTAAGTGAGTAAAACTTAAAAAATAATTTCTTAAAATAATTTCTTCCCACAGATTGAGGCCTGAAAAGCTTGGTAGCACTTCATGTAGTATTATCCACTACACTTACCTAAGACAATCATTTTCATCATCCCCAGGTGTTTTTTGACTGGGGAGAGGAGAACATTAGGCCTTCTGGATGAGCTGTGAAAGGCCATGACCACCTGCATTTTTACTGCCTAGTGACTCAGTATCACAAGGTTCCTGTGCAACCTTTTACAAGCAGCTTTCCTCCCTACCATGTTTAATGCAATGCAAACAAAAGGTAATACACTTAAAAAAAGCATATAGAATGATAGTTCCTGATAGTTGTGTGCTAATAGATAGTTGACTGTTTCTAATCACAAAATATTATGTGATTAAATTAGATGGGTGTATGAAAATATCAGTACAACACCCAGTTCCTTGTCATGGGATACTTTCCATGCTAGAAGTCTTTTTTCTTATTTTTTTTTCCAAAAATAATACAAAATTAAAAATAAAAAAAAAAAAAAAGCAACCTAAATAAACACAAAGTAGGAAAAACACCCAACCTGTAATATTTATTCTAAATCACTTAATTCCAGAATTACAAGTGTTATTGTATGCAGATTTTCTTAACACATTTAACTTAAGTCACAGTACTACTAATAAAATTTTAGAAGTCACTGGTTAGCTAAATATTAGATTTGTAAAACTTGGCACACAAGTTAATGAGGAATTTTCTTTTATACTGGCATAGCTGTTAATATTTTGAAAGTATCCACTGTGGCCTAATTATCTTTCTTATTCATTATTTTTATCTGCATGGTTTGGGAAAGCTTTACATCTCCTTTGAAGATTTAAGTCAGGAATTCAGCAAGTAATGGAGGTATCATGTTTTCATAATGTCTGGGTTCAGGAGACCCTTGATAGATGGAGTTGCTGTGAATTAAGGAATAATAAGCTCCTCTGAAGTGAATTTTTAATTACTGCACTGCCTTAATGCAGCTCACTGGTGCCATGAATGTCATCCAGGATATATTTTCTAACAGTCCTTTTCCTTTAATGCACCTTTCTCTTAAAAACAGATAACATTTTGTTGTTACTAAAGCTGGAGTGGTGCAGGCATATCCCTAATGGCTACACTTGAATTATTACTTACTGTAAAACACCTAGGAGATTTAGACTTAGTGTATTTATTACTTAGATGACTTTGTTCAGGTGTTACTTCTCTTCTGATAACTGGATTTTAGACACCAAATATTTACTTTCCTTTTATTTCCTCTCCCAAAATAACATCTTCTAGTCAAAGAATATGTTTAAATAACATTAGGAAAATGGGCTACTCTTTGCCAAAAGGACTTCAACCATTTTTGATTCTGTCATTGAAGGCAAATTCCTATTTATAATTGCCAAAAAACTTCAAATCAAACTGATGCAATCCCCAAAACATCCCACACATGACACACTTTGACTTTCATTTAACGTAAGTTGTACAGTTCTTTTACTGCAATACTGATGTCATAGTAAAGAATGTGCTTAAGGCAAAGTTATTTAAAGATTCTTAGTAGCAAGCAATAATTAATACGTCCTGTCAATTTTATGATTCCTCAGCTGCATACCATGCTCAATACACTCTCAAGTGACCTGTTTTTGTCTTTTCATGTCTATAATTTCCCAACACAAATGTTTTATCCATTCAAATGAAGTTCCATAAATCACAGTGACGTCTTTTTAAATGAATGTACTAGAAGAAAAAAGTAACATGGTAGCTGGAAGTGTCTTGTTTGACAGCTTTTCTGGGTACAATGTAAACCTCAGTTGGTTTGATAAGAGAACTGTATTTGGAATTGTTATTTGGATGAGAATGAGTTCTTTTCAATTGTCATTGGAGTGCTACACTGGATTTGCACAAGGCCTGATTATATTTAGTATCTGCTCATATAGCCATGCTTAATCAGCATTGCTTCATCAGCACACAAAGATTGTCTTTTTGCCTCTATTTCTTCTAAGATATTCCTTAGACTTCTTATTATTGGAACACTTCTTAATTACTTACTATACTTCAGTTTAAAAATAAGCATGAAATCATACCTATAATACTCACAGGTCTCCAGATGTTTCCTAACATCCCATCTCGCTGTAGAGTTTGTTCTTCAACCTGCAATAAATGTCTGCAATTGATATTCCATTTCTGAAAGACTCTTCACTGGAAGAAGCCATGATAACTTCTGAGGTGCACAGGATCTTGGTAAATTTATGAAATTATGATCAAAACTACAGAATCACAGAATGTCAAGCGGTTGGAATGGACCATAAAGACCATATCATTTCAACCCCCTGCCAAGGCCAGGGACACCTCCCACTAGATCAGATTTCTCAAAGCCTTATTCAACCTAGCTTTGAACACTGCCACCGATGGGGGATCCGCAACTTCCCCAGGCAACCTGTTCCAATGCATCACCTCACTCACAGTGACAAATTTCTTCCTCACAACCAGCCTAAATTTTCTGTCTTCCAGTTTGTACCCATTACTCCTTGTCCTATCACTAATATTGCCTCAAGTTTCCTGTACAATTTCTCTGTATTCTTCCCACAACATCTGTTCTTGTTTCCACTTCCTGAAAGCTTCTTGGTTTTGCTCCATTTGCTCAGCAGCTCCTTATCTGTCCATGGAGACCTCTTGGCACCTTTTCCAGATTTCCTCCTTGTTGAGCTTTATAAATCCTGAGCTTGGAGGAAGTGATCCTGAAGATTCAGCCAGCATTATTGGGTCCCTCTCCCCTCCAGGGCTTTATCTCATGGAACTCTCCCAGGCAGGTCTTTGAAGAGGTCAGAATCTGCTCTCCTGCAGTCCACGGCAGTGAGCTTGCTCTATGCCCTCCTCATTGCTCTGAGGATCTCAAATTCTACCATCTTGTGCTCACTGCAGCCAAGTCTGCCTTGGAGCACTACATTCCCCACCAGCTCCTTTCCTTGTGGAAAGCATGGCACCTCTCCTTGTTGGCTCCTCAATCATTTTTCTAAGGGATTTGTCACTGACATATCAGAGGAGCCACTGGGATTGCTTGTGCCCTGCCGTGTTGTCCCTCCATCAGACAATCCAGGTGATTGAAAGCCTCCATGAGGACCAGTGCTTGCAAGCGTGATGCTACTCCTGTCTGCCTGTAGAGCACTTCATCCACACCTGATCAGGAGGTCTGCAGCAGATCCACATCACAATATCCCCTGCCCTCTCTTAAATCTTGACCCACAACCTCCAAGCTGGCTCCTTATCCTTCCCCAGGCAGTCCCATACTCTCCAGCTGGTCATCAACGCCCATCCTCATCTCCCTAGTGTGTCTTTCTTAAAAAGCCTGAAACCTTCCATTCCAATGGTCTAGTTGTAGGAGCCTATAGTGGTTTAGATTCACCAATCCGAGTTTCCCAAATGCGCCAAATAATGTGATAGGTTTTAGCACCAGATAAAATCACCAGAGCACTTATTCATTTCTTGCTGTGAGACATGGATTAGGAGAAGGGCAAAAAACAGGCTTAAAACTTAAAAGGAATAAAAAAACTTTAACAGGACTACAAGAATAAGAAACCAGAATAAAATCTCCAGAAACCTTTCCTCCCCCCACCCAGCTTGTCCTTTCCCAACCAATAGCAGAGATGAAATTTGGGATGTTAAAATAGTGCAAACTATGCAATAGTCTTTCATCAGTCCTTGTAGGGAGAGGAGTTTTCTCTTGTCATGCCATGGAGAGTTCTCCACAAGAAAGTTGTCTCGTGGCTTTTCTTTTCAAAGAATAGCAGCCACCTGGGCACAAATTCTGCCATCGTGCCATCTCCTCCCATTTTCACAGCCCTGCTAGAGGTGTGTCCATGGGCCATGAGCTTAAGGGGTATTATTTTAAGGACGAGTTATTCAAAGGCAGAGGTTGTCTCCATCTGTCTCTCTGATCATCTCTGGGAACAGAAGTTTTCTTCTCTCCCTGGGGGTAAAGGGTCTTCATCACCCTCATCTCTTTCTCTCTGTTCAAGCAAATTCTCCAAGTATAAACACATATAACCCTGTTTGGTTCAGGTACAGACGTCATGTTTAGTATAAGCACAACAGTTTCCAGGATCCATGTCTTATCTAAATTACTAGCACATATAACTGCCTTAATGTACATGTGGGTGGTAAAATACACACACATATATGTAAAGTAAATATTACCCCTTCTTCATATGCAAACAAAGTGCCAGCCAGCAAGGAAGTAAATGTGAATTTGTTTTATTAGACTTCAGGAGAAGAAATTGTCCAGCTCTGGTGAAAATATAGATTATAGATTTTAATTATTATTCTAGTGGAGTCACTTTCATTTGCAATTACACATTTCATTTTGCAATTTAATAAATCATCACAGTGGGAGATAAATCAGCAGACATTCATGCTTCAGCCTGAAATTTCTGATGTCATTTGCATAAAAGACAACTATTCCGAGAAAACACACTCCTGGTTACGTTTTCACATAGTGGAAATAACTGCAAAAGCTAAAGATATCTAACAGGGACAGATTTATTTAAAAGAAAAGTCATACTGTCAATATTTAAATACGGAAACTTCATGATAATAGTGTGATCTTATATAGCTCAAATGGAGAATACCTTCTTACTGAAACTCATGATCTTAAATGTTTTCTGTGATATATATCAACATAGCACTCTTTTTTCTTATAAAAAAGTCCACTCATTGAAGTCATCATTTTACTAGCACTAATGCTAGGCATCCATAATAAAAATAATAGAAAAATTACAAGTTTAACTAACCAGAGTTATAATCATGCATAGTACGTGGCCACATAAATGAGCCACATTTTGTCAATGAACTAGAGAAAAGAAATGTTTTTGTACATCTTCACTCTTATAAAAATAATTACTTACATTTCTGTATTTTTTCTTCAGGATTAGAAAATACAGCCACAGAGGAAACTATAACCTTCATAGCAATGAAGCTCCTTCCAGCTTTTTACTCCAGGCTGGAAATCAAACAGCTAGTTGATGTTATAATGTGACATGCTATAAAATGTTTATTTAACTCCAGACAAAAAGATGTTGACACTGTTTGAACTTACACTTCTTCCTGATCTTTATGTACTTCCTCATCTTTATTTTAATTAAACATTAGAGAGCTTTCAAATAAACTGTTTTTTCAACACAAATACATGCAAATAAATTCTCAGGAAAGTGCATACTCTTACTGGAACAGTACTTTTATTTCAGGAATTTAATATAGGAATTGAAAGCTTCTTTCTCCATAAGATTTGTTTTTCTACCTAAAAATACCTCCAAGAGTATCATAAGCTGTATTGTTTCTTTGCTTGACATGCAGTTAAACCAGAAATGTTTCCAGTTTGGAGGAAGGTTGTGACATCTGAGGTCTCTAGCTTGACCCACGAAAAACAAACCTAAAAATAATTTTTGTGCCTGTGATAGGAAAGGAAAAAAAAAAAACCAGTACTGAAATTCTCTGGTAGCATAAGAGCACAAGTTCCATGTATTAAGAGTTTTGCAATAGGAAGCATTAAGTCGAGATTTTACAGGGGAAAAAAAGAAATAGAGAGAGAGAAAAGTAATAAGGTCTTCTCAATTGTTACAATAGCTTTGACGGTTTTTCATTTTTGTTTGAAGACTGAGAAAGATTTCACAAATTAGAGATGACCCTGCATATTTTTAAAACTAGGAGAGTATCAAGACAAGAAGCAAGAGATGAATACAACTAGGTTGCAGAGTCTTTTCACCAAGAAAACAAATTTTAAGGTCCTATGGATTAAACGGTTCAAAATACTGCAGATTAAAACAATGTGAATATTCCACTGAACCGGGGGAAAAAGAGTGAAAGCAAACTAGAAGATTTATTTATAAATACCAGATCAGCCTCAGACATGGGAGAAATACTTAGGTTATTTAGAGTACCAAGAACACTTTTTATTCCAAAACAAGCTGAAAGCTGTTTCTTTATAACATGAAACACATAAGCAGAGGATATGCATTAATCATAGAGAAAAAGCAAAAATAAAGTAGGAGCTATGTAAAAAGAAATGCATAAGTGCAAAACTAGAGAGATGAACAAAAATAATATCTTGAGCCAGCGTAAAGAACATGAAAAATGCCCTGCCTACTAGACCACGCGGCCCCTGTGTCAGTGTGCTAAAGCTTGCAGTAAAGGGGAAAAAAAATGACATTCTGAAAGCAAAACAGCATCTGAGAGGAAAGTTTCTACACTTATGACTGCAATGCAATGCAAAATAGCACAAAGAAATGGTTTCTAGAATTCAGACTACTATCAGATGCAAGGACAAGGAAGCAATAGGCAAACAGCTGAACGGCAAGCAGTCAGTGGGGCACAAGTAAAACCATGAGGCTAAAAAAGTGCTACAGAAGAGGGGAGGAAAGAAAAAATTATTCAGTCTTACATATGCAACATAAGGATAATGCAAATCCTATGCAAAATTCTGCTGAGGAAAGGAAACGCTAAATTTTTAGGCAGGACAAGGACATAAACAACACAATACATGAGCAGACATTGAGGCATGTCTGCTCTCACTGAGCACATTCTACCAGGGCCCATAGTGTCCACGGGGATCTCTGCAAAGGTGGTACAGATTATTATGACAGATCTGCAGGACCACAGTATCTTGCCCATAAGCACACTAAACCAGATAAAGACACTAAGCAATACAGCATGCAAATCACTGATTCCTTCTAAGATAGGAGAGTAATGGAAAGACCAAACAGAAAAAGAAGGAATTATGGGCAGTTTCTCTTATGTCATTTGGGACAAAGAAATATATAGAAATACGGGAATGAGAGTAATGGACAAATTAGTCAGTATTTGAAAGGTTAAGAACACACATTTTTAAGACAGTTTCTAGTCACAAAAGAGTGCTCCAAAGAAATCTTCTGGTAATGGTCTGAAAATGTAATGTTCTCACTTCCCAAGGTTGCACAGTAAGCAGTGCCAGAGATAAACATTACTCTTTTTACCTAAAATTATCATTTTGGATCTAAAATGGTTCTACAGCAGGCCAAGAGGACCTGCACCACCTCAGAAAACAGAAAACAGAGATAAAGCAAATGAACTGAACTAGTTCCATCACTTCAGAGAGAGCAAAAACAAAGCAAAACAAAAAT